CGCCACCCGGCATCCCGCCCCCTCGCCCAGCCCCCCGCAGCCGCGGAGGCTCCCCTGGGGCCCGCCCCGGCGAGGAGCGCTGGCAGGTGCAGGAAGCACGGGTCAGTTAGAATTTCGCGTAAACAGGCACTCGTTTCTCAGTATGAATATGTGCCCAAGGGCGGCATGCCACAAACCTGTGCGGAAAAATGACCTGCCGACCCGAAATTCAGATTTACCTGGCCGTCGGGCGTCTTTATACTTACAGTCGTAACGCGCGCACGCTTGTATGGAAAGTCGCTCCCACAGAAGCATACGCTCGTATATAAGCGCAGGTCGCATGCAACTGCGTAGATTGTATTTCTATCGGTGTGAACGAGCATTCGTTCTCCTTGGTGTTGGGGCTCAGCCCGGCACCCCACCTGCCGGGGCCTGACCAGACTCTCAGGTGGAGAACGAACTGGAAACTCGCAGCGGTGTCGGCGCCCCAGCTGCCCGCACCGCACCGCCCAGGCGCTCGCCAGGAAGGGAAGGGGGGTCGGGCAGCCGTTCCCGCGCAGATGAGGCGTCCGGCGCTCGGGCTCCCCAAGGGCCGCCGCTCACCAGCTGCTCCCCCGCCTCACCCGCCCCCACCCGCCCCGCCATAGCCGGCCGACTGCCCCTGCGCTCCTCCTAGCACCTGCCTACCCGCCCGGCTGGCTCCTGGCCGCAGCCCCCACCTTGCGGGGCAGACGGACAGCGTGGGTGTCCTGCTCCGCGGCCCTCGAGGTCTGTCCCCACCAGATCAAACCGGTGTGGGACCTGTCACTCCCGTCCCTGCTCCTGCAAACAGCAGGAGAGCAGGAAAGGGGGGGCGCCGTCAGCCAGGTGCGCTGCTACACCAGGTGGCACTGACAGGCCCTAGTCTGGGCATCAGCCCCAGGGAGCCCGAGCGCAGGTGCCTGCGGTCCAAGCGCCCCCACCTGAGAGGGAGCCTGGAGGCCCTGTGAGGCCTGTGGGGGCAGCGGAGGGGCGCGGCCCCCACCCCAGCAGGCTCCTAGAGCCGGCTGATACAGGCAGGGCCGGCTCAGGACCCGCGTCAGTGTGCTGGGAGGGACGGTGCGGAGGGGACCTGGGACTTACTCCCTGGGGGCCACCGGACACGGCTCCCCAGCAGAAGGCTGGGCTGGGCCTGGGTGTGGCCGCAGGAGCCACCGGGCCTGGCTGCGGGCGCCGAGGAAGAGGAGGCGGAGCCGCCGCTGCCTCCATTCCCACCGCGCCCCGCCCTGGGCCCTGGGGCCCTGC